GATAAAATATTGCTGTGGTTGTACGGAGAGAACCACATGCGGTACCCTCATATTCTTCATCAGGAAGATGGCAGTGTTCCTACAAGATGCAGCACCATCCACAACACACAGGGTCTGCAGCCGTGCCCTGGGGAGCTTACGTTGTAATGAGAGAGGCAGAGAATAAACACATCCATGAATATGTTGTGTAGCTTAATACAATCACGAGGGCTAAGATCATCACACTTGGGTCTGACTTAAGATATGTTTATTTTTGAAAACACAGTTCTATTCTGAATCACATGGGGTTGCCCTGAGTTGGAATTGACGGAAACACATTTGGTTTTTATTTGAGAATCTTTACGAATTTTCCTACGTTTCAGATGGTTTAAAATCAGCTTTCTCTTGTAGGCTTAGGATATCCTGAGGCCTATGAGGTTTGATTAGAAAGACCACAGCCGTGTAGGTAGGGAAGAGATTGTTCTTGTTCCTCAAATGAACCCACACTGGCTCTTCAGGGCTCTTGAGCAATAACTGAGGTGTATGGAGAGGCTTCAGGGCTGCGCAGGGGAGGGCTGACCCTGCTGGTGACGGTGAAGGAGAGCAAGCAGAGGACTACTCGGAGGTTGTACAGAATGTCCTCTGAGCACGTTTCCCTTCCCCCCAGCACTTCCTCTTCCCACCACATGCAAGACTGAGGGGTTTGTGTCCGGATCTTTCTCTCTTCCCGTAGTGTCCTAAGGAAATGCATTTATCCCCACAGACATGACTTGGTGTGAGCCCAAGTTTTAAATGTATTCAGTTCGTTTGCATCTGCAGTGTCAGTACCTTAGAATTCTGAAATCGAGGCAAAGTAGCCCTAAATTTTGAGCTTCTGAAAGGTCCTCATGGGAAGACTGTAACAAAGTGACAAGGCCTTGGTTAAAAATTGCCTTTTTGATACCAGCTGTTCCTCTTACAAGCAGCTTCCTCATTTTTCTTGTTAAGAGAAAGAAGCTTTGTCTGTCTGTCTGTCTGTTTTAATTGGGCTCTGAATTACAAAATCAAGTCAGTCTTAAGGCTTGGGGAATTTGCTGTTTTTAAGTATTGAAACAAAAATGTCTTAAAATGTTTCTCAGCTCAAAAAAAAAGAGGCCTGATAAATTGTTTGTGATCTTACTAAATTGTCAACTGCTGGTTTTCATATTCTAAAAATAACTTACTGTGGGACAGATTCCTGTTTGTCCTCCTCTAAGGCCACTGTCACTGTCTTCCAAATGCTTATCGATTCTGATTAGGATGTCTGTTCTACTGCTAAATGTACAATGCTGTTTCATGTCCTTTGACCACCAGAATGTAGTTCGAAATGTTGACATTCTATTCCTAGCTCCTTGTGGTGAATGGTGGGTTAAGTTTTGCAGTTTTCAAATCTGTTAACTTGTGAGTTCCCGCTGACACCTTCCAACAGGAAGATTCAGATACCACAGCCTCACAATCCGATGTGAGCTCTACCTGGGGGCGGGGTGGGGGGAGGATGAGTGAGTGAGCGATTGCTCTCATCTCCAAAGTGAACAGAATGTTCAGAAAGCTGGGTGTGGACGTTTCACAAAGATGCTTACATAAATAGTGCTGTGGTTTGGCAGCCATTTGTAACCCAGCATTCTTCTTTTTCCTTTTTCTTGGTGGGAAGTGTTTCGGCCTCTTTTGTGGATAATGTATCCTGGGAAGTAGTGTGTGATTGGTGGATGTTCAGGTTCTAAGTTCAGGTGGAGAAGGAGCATTCAATAACACCAGTTTTTTTCTCTCTCTAGATACACTTTCTTGCGATGGAAAGTCATTGCAATCCTGATTTTTAAATAGATCAGGCTAGCCAGTCCTGGCATTTTCATTTCTTTTCACACCACATCGTTTTCTACTGACAATCTCATGCCCTGAGAAGTAATGAGAGTGAGGAGAATTAGACCCACCTCACGAACGCCTGCCCCTTTCATTAAACTCCTCCAAATGAAAAGTTATGATGCTTGGAGCATGGGCCAGAGCGTTTAAGAGCTGCACCTGTGTAAAGCGCTCCTGTTTGTAATGTGAGGACCACTAGACCCACCAAGCTTTCCCACTTTGAGAAGTGCTTCTTCACCTGAACTCCTCCATGAGGTAATGAAGACTGTACACATTGCTAAACATATTGCATATATGGTGTGCAGACATACCCAGATCCTAAACAGCTTGCATCCTGGGGCAAAGAGGAGGCGGAGGCAGAGCCCTGGGAGACCATCCTGGTCACATATGCTGGACAGATGTGCTCTGCCCCCTTCTAATTTTTTTCATTTGCAACCTGGGGAAAGGCAAGTTTTCGTTCCTGGTTTGAACTTCTAGTTTGAACATACTCGGCTAGTTCAGATCTTCATCCAGACGGACTTTGGCAGAATCGAAGGTTCGATCACGTTCCAAGCCCTTCTTGAGGAAAAGAAAAGAAGGGAAACTAAACTGTTCCTAATCTCTATCTTACTGTCGGTTATCCTTCTCTAAGTCACGTTTGTATTATTGGCTGTTGTTTTTCAGAGTTGACCTCTGGAATGCTAGTAACTTGAAGTTTGGAGATGAGTTCCTGGGAGAATTAAGGATCCCATTGAAAGTTCTGCGGCGGTCCAGCTCCTACGAAGCATGGTAAGGTAATGGCGTGCCCAGAGATCAGCTGGCGGTGGTGGTTGTGTGCCACTGACTCGGTTCTGACTCATAGCGAGCTTGCATATGGTTCCTGAGGTTGTCAGCCATTATAGGAGCAGAGAGCCTCCTGCTAGGTTCGAACTGCTGACCTTGTGGTTAGCAGCTCAGTTCATAAAGCTGGTGAGAAATCAAAAGAAAACAGCAATAATAAAAAGGCTTCCCAAATGAAACGGTTCAAACTCTGTGTACTCAGCCCTCTGTCTTCTCAGGGAGAGCCCACTGCCTCTTACTCTGCACATAGTTCTGACAGCTCTTACTTGGTGAAGTAGTTTCTTCTTGTGCAGCAGGTGAGAGATAGTTGATGAGGAGACGTGCAAACATAGGTGATGGCTCCGAACCTTAAGACAAGGAAAGGAGAGGAGGGAGGGAGGGTAAAACACTGGCCTTAAAATGTTGGCATAGCAAACTGTCCCTCATCTGATTATTCAGTAATGCTTGTTAGTAATCTCATACATGAGCCCTGGATATCCACAGACAAATGTAAAAACCTTCCCTAAAAGCCGAGACTGTAAATTCCAAAAAGCCAAGTCCCCCCCCATCCAAAAAAAAAGCCAAAGAGGATAGAGAGAAATACTGTAAACTGATGATATATGGTAGGGATAATAATCAATGTAATGAAACAAGCTATATGAATGGTTGAATGTGAAGCTGATGATGTGCCCTGTAAACTCTCACTCAATGCAAAATAAAAACATTTAATTTAAAAAAAAAAAAAATGTTGGAAACAGCATCTGGGGCCTGGTTATTGGCGATGCTACTTCATTGCTGATCTCCAGGTACTGACTCATGACCTCGATCTTTACCTGTAAAGCTTAAGTCGTCCGAAGGTACCTCCTCACCCTCTGAGGAAAGTATGAAAGGGTGCGTTTATTTCAAGAAAATCTCGACTTCAGACCCCACATCTATAATGCAGAATATTTCAGCTCTGCACTGTAACTCATTCAAGTATCCCAGATGGCTCAAGTGTTGCTACTTTCCCATGGATTTATTTCTTGTTTTCCTTAGAGCACTTTGTGTTTTTGCATAAGGGAAATCCTTGGCCTTACTTCATGATCAGTGTATAAATCAAATTGCATCTCAATAAATAGGATCAGTATGAAATCTTAAATATTTCTGACCCTGGTCATTGGTTCTCTGACTTCATTTCCTTTACCAGATACATTGCACACGAAGAGAATGTCTTGTTGATTTATACACATCAGCAAATAAGGACAGAAAAACCATCACACAATTTGTATCACTTTTCACATTGCGCTCAATAGCAGAGTTCTCTGTCAACAGAAACTACCGGAATACATGTGCCTTTTAATTCCATGAGCTGTAGGCAGCTGGCCCAGGACCATATAGTTAGACTCTGGTTTCTTGCCAGGAGCCTTAAGCAAACCCCCAGCCATCGTAACCAAGGATCTAATGCTTGGCTGGGGACCCTCTGAAGCCCTCACCAATATACCATGCTGGTGAAATGCTTTGGAGATAAGATCTGCCTATATAGAATCTTTAAATTGTATATCTAATACAATTAGAGAAAATAGAGTTCCTGAATGGGACAAGAGAGGAGAGATTCCAAAGACAGACACTACCAATGACCATGCAATCCTCCAATGGTCCAGCTGTCCCCAGCCACCCACAACTCAGTACTAGTTCAGACACTGAGGCTGTCCTCTATGTTCATGAAAATAATAACAAGTCTGCCTCTTGCTTGCCCAGCGTCAAGTGTCAGTCTTCACAGGGTAATGGTTTTACTGCAGACTTGACCCTGACCCTGACGACTTGTGTGTAGATTCCAGCCAACGTCTGGCCTCAGACACTTGTTTCTTGTTCACGTCCACTCACTTCTCCTTTTCATCCTTCTCATGCCTCCCACCTAGTCCCACTTTTCTCCCTTCCCTTCTAAGTTGTTAACTGCCGTCAAGTCAATTCTGAGAAGAGGTTGGTGGGTTTGAACCACCAGCCTTGCAGGTAACAGTCCAATGCTTATCCTACAGCGCCACATCAGGACTCCGACTTTGAAGTGTGCGGCTCTTCATGAGAGGCATTACAGTAAGCCTCCTCGGGTGGGAAGCATCCCCCCCCCCAGACACTACAATGGGGGCCTCCTACGGAATCATCTGCTTCAAACCCTGACACCTGAAGACGGATGTGAGGGGGAGCCCATCTGCTGAGCAGGGTGCTAGGCTTGGCCCCTTCAAAGATGCCGCTGCCTCACCCAGGCTGATTCTGTGTGTCCTTTCCAGGTATTTCCTTCAACCCCGGGATAACGGCAGTAAGAGCCTGAAGCCAGGGGACCTCGGGTCCTTAAGGTTGAATGTGGTTTACACAGAAGACCATGTTTTCTCCTCAGACTATTACAGTCCTCTCCGGGACCTCCTGCTGAAGTCTGCAGACGTGGAGGTAATTTGCCTGCGTGCCTTTTTGGTTTATCTACCAATGACCTTTGGCAAACAATCACAAACAGTTCTCGGGGTGATGGAGGGAGAACCGCCTCAGCTGCTTCCTGCCCTTATTTATGAATTTCACCATTGGCCCCAAGTCTCCTCTACACCCCTGTCTGCTGACAAAAGATCTTTATCTCCTTTTGCTGGCTGTAAGGGGAGACACACCCAACTCTTGTGCAGTTAGAGCCGTTGTGAGAACCCACAGGCAGGGTGTATGACTTCCTAACTTTTATGTTCCACTGTCAGCCAAATGTCTTTGGTTTCCTTTGCTCACAAACCCTCTTCTGTTTGAATTTTGAGGGCTGATGGGAGGAGGAGCAGAGCTCAGGGTGCTCTCTTCTGTGCATGAACCCACCAAATTGGAGATTTTAATGAGTTTTTTTGTTTTTGTTTTATGAAATGCATGTTTTCTATCTAAGTAAAAAGCTGTATGTGTCATAACTAGAAATGGCAGCACGTATTAGTAAAGGGAGAAAGGAGAGAGGGAAAACACAGATTCACCCATTGTTCTTTGATGACCTTGTTGTTTCACCGAAAAACTGAACTAACCATTAGGGTGGTTTCTCTGTGGAGAAGTGGGGTTTTAGATTGCTGCCCCCTACTGACTGTATCTATCAAACAGTGTCATTCACACGCAAGTAAAATTATGTTAGTTGTTGGTAAGTGTCGTTGAGTTGGTTCCAACCCATAGTGCACGATTGTAGTAGTACATCGACAGGAAGCTATAAGAAATTCAAACTGGATTCAGAAGAGAATGTGGAAAGAGGGATGTCATTACTGATGTCAGATGGATCTTGACTGAAAGCAGAGAATACCACAAAGATGCTTGCCTATGTTTTATTGACTATGTAAAGGCATTTGACTGTGTGGCTCGTAACAGATCATGAATAACATTGTGATTAAGACTAGGAATTCCAGAACATTCATTGTAAGAACATTCATTGTACTCCTGTGGAACCTGCATATAGACCAAGAGACATTTGTTCCATCATAACCAAGAGACATTGCATGATTGAAAATCAGGAAAGGTGTGTGTCAGGTTGTATTCGTTCACTATACTTAATCTCTATGCTGAGCAAATAATTCGAGAAACTGGACTTTATGAAAAAGAACATGGCGTCCGGTTTAGAGAAAGACTCATTAACAACCTGCGATATGCAGATGAGACAACCTTGCTTGCTGAAACTGAAGAGGACTTAAAGTACTTACTGATGAAGATCAAAGACTGCAGTCTTCTCTAGGGATTTCTCTATAGTGTCAAGAAAATGAAATTCTCACAACTGGATCAATAAGATAATATCATGATAAATGGAGAAAATATTGAAGTTGTCAAGGATTTCATTTGATAATCAGCACCATGGACTATCAGTCAAGAAATCAAATGACATATTATATTGCATTGGACAAATCTGCTGCACGAGACCTCTTTAAATTGTTAAAAAGCAAAGATGTCAGTTTGAGAGCTAAGGTGTGCCTGACCCAAGCCGTAGTATTTTCAGTTACCTCGTATGTGAAAGCTGGACAGTGAATAAGGAAGATCAGAGAAGAAGCAATATCTTTGAGTCATGGTGTTGGTGAAGAGTGTTGACTATACCATAGACTACCAGAAGACAGCACTGGTAGCATAGTGGTTATGAATCGGGCTGCGAGCCTTAAGGTCAGCAGTTCGAAACTACCAGCTGTCCCGTGGGAGAAAGATGAGGCTTTCTGCTCCCGTAAAGATTTACTTCCTCGGTAACCCTGTACTCTGAACCAACACAACATCAATAAACAACGGTGACAACCAGAAGAGTGAATAAATCTGTTCTGGAAAAAGTACAACCAGATGCTCCTTAGAGACTAAGATGCTGAGACTTAGTTTCATGTACTTGGACAGGTTTTCAGGAGGGACCAGTCCCTAGAGAAGGACAGGATGCTTGGTAAAGTCGAGGGTCAGCAAAAAGAGGAAGGCCCCCAACGAGATGTAGCATTTACAGTGAATTTACAGAGCACACCAAAAGTTGTGAAGATAGTGTAGTGTGTCCTTCTGCTGTGCACAGGGTCATCGTGAGTCAGAACCAACTTGGCGGCACCTAATGACAACCATGATTGAAAGATACTAACACAGGAGGGAAAGTGAAATCTCCAAGGCACAGACCCTGGAGTCTGGCACACCTAGATCCAAGGGTCATTGGAGATGGTGTGGGGCTTGATCTCTAAAGGCTTTTGTTGTCTCTTTGCTCAGCCTGTGTCTGCATCCGCCGCCCATATTCTGGGTGAAGTTTGTAGAGAGAAACAGGAAGCAGCGATCCCATTGGTGCGGCTCTTCTTACACTATGGCAAGATAGTGCCTTTCATCAGTGCCATTGCAAACGCCGAAGTGGAAAGGACTCAGTGAGTACCTGACACCGCCCTGCGGCCTCTCTCCCGAGCCCCCTGACCCTCTCTTTCTCTGCCTTCCCTCCTCTTGTAGGAACGTCAAGCCCATCTCCACAGGCAAGTCGAAACATGATGGGGAAACGCGAACAACAAGGTCCGCAGTTCAAACCCACCAGCTGCTCCTTTGGAAATCCTTTACAGGGTCGCTATGAGTTAGAGCCGACTTACAACAACAACAACAACAGTTCCTACTGAGTCTCTGTGTGGTTCAAACAATGAATTCGCATGACTTCTAACCAAAAGGCTGAAGGTTCGAGTCTATTCAGAGACACCTTGGGAGCAAGAGCTGGAGATCTAGTCCCCAAACTCAGCACAGTTCCACTCTGTGTGACACACAGGAGCTCAGCATAAGTCAGAAACAACTTGATAGCAACTGGCTTACTGGTTTAGAGTTACTACCACTTGTAGGTGAGAAAGTAAGGCTACGGAACAGGGGTGGGGAACCTACCAAATTTTTTTTTTCTACCAAAATTTATAGCATTATTTGTGGGCCATACAAAGTTAGCTTGCTATATTTGGTCCAGCACTGAATTAACTCGCCCCTAATGTGATAGCTGGAGTCCTGGTGTGGCGCTGTGGGTTAATGCGCCAGACTGCAAAGCCGTTTAAACTGCAAGGTCGGCCGTTCAAGCTCACCAGCTGCTCCTTGGAAACCCTGTACAGGGTCGCTATGGGTCGGAATCAACTCGACGACACTTGACAACAACAACAATGTGATACCTGGAACTGCGGTTGCCTTGGCAGGACCAGACCAAATGATTTCACGGGCTGGACGTTCCCCACCCCTGCTAGAAGATTTGAGTAATTCGTTAGCAGTAGAAGTCACCCTCAAAAAATCCTTCGGGGGAAATATTGAGGAAACTAAGTATAAGCAGCATCTTCAAGACAATAATCTAAATTCATATTTTTCTTTCAGAGGCATGTTTATGTGGTTTTTTGTTGATGTTGCTTTTTTAAAGAAAACTAAAAACCAAAAACCTCACCTTTTCTTTAGGACATCTCAGAGCAAGTGTGCAAAGAATTGGGTTACCCATGAGCACTGATTGTTTTAAGGGGGTCACTCAATTCCTCCCGGCCTTTTACAATCCGCTCTGACTCCACCTCATGTTGAGATTTTATGAGTTCCCTATAGATGGAGTCGAGGACTGCAGATTGGTCGGCCAACATCCTCACAAGGAGCAACATTTCCTTTGGTCCCCTTGTCACCCTAAGGGAAGGGAATAGCAGTTTGATTAAAGAGACCATAAAGCACCCACCAGTTAAGCGAAGTAAAGGGTTACCCTGATTCGTCTGCTACTCCACTAGACCCTGCACCCTGACCACAGTTTTAGGTGCTTTGGAATCAGTCAAGTTGATTCCAACTCACAATGACTTTTCAGCTCAGCACAGAGCCGCTCTTTAGGGTTCTCCAGACTCAATCTTTCTGGAAGCAGACAGTCCCCTTTGTCTTTCTCCTGTGGAACAGCTTGGCAGCCTCATGCTTAACCCATTGCACCCCAACAGCTCTTCATTTTAGTGTTTAGAATCAATCTCACCAAGAGTGGCAAATTGGCAAAGATCAATACATTATATTACCTTCTGAGTTAAAGAGCACATGGGGCTGGCTTACACAGGAGAGAGATTTAGAGGCATTTCAGAAGGCCTAGGTCATAATTGTCTTAAAAAACAAAACAAAACAAAAAAATGAACCTCTTGCTGTCAAATTGATTCCGACTCATAGCCACCCTGTTTGCTACAGAGTGTTGTTAAATGCTGTTGACTTGGTTCCGACTCACAGCTCCCCTGTTAGGGTTTCTGAGGAGAGCCTGGTGGGTTTGAACTGGCGACCTTGCAGCTCAACCTGACCTTGTGATCCTGCAACACCACACCAGGGCTCCTTGCTGCAGAGTGGAACTGCCCCATAGTTTCCTGGTTGTATTTTTCACTGATCACCTGGGTTTTCTTCTGTGGCGTCGCTGGGTGGGTCTGAACCGTAAAACCTTTAGGTCAGTTGTTATTTGTGCCTTCAAGTCGGTTCTGACCCATAGCGACCCTTATAGGGTTTCCTAGGAGCAGCTGGTGAACTTGAACCACCAACCTTGCAGTTCAGATCGACTTTCCAGTCCAGTGCATTAACGCACAGCACCACCCCAGGACAGTAGCATACGCTTGTATTTCCCAAGGACCCTAATCCTCTCCACCTTGTAAAGACAACTGAAGACCCACCAAGGTGACCTTATTTCTGAATCAGACAAAAGGACATTCCAAAACAGGCTCCACCTCCTTATCCAGCATTAACATCATGTTGCTATTGTTAGCTGCTGCAGGGTCAGTTCTGACACATAGCAACCCTTCAGAGGGTTTCCAAGGAGAGACTGATGGGTTTGAACTGCCACCTTTGTGGTTAGCAATCCAGTGCTGACCCTATAGCGCCATACCAGTATCACACAGAGACAAAAATCATCCCCCCAAATGTTTTTCAGAGACCCCAATACCATCTTCCGAGGAAACTCTCTGACTTCCAAGTGCATCGATGAAACCATGAAGCTAGCTGGCATGCACTACCTGCATGTCACGCTGAAGCCCATCATAGAAGAGGTGAGTCAGCGCCCCCTACAGGCCTTCCCTGGGAGAGCTGAGGCAATCACACACACACACACACACACACACACACACACACACAGCTAAGAGCTTTAATACTAGCTTTCTTTTTAGTTTGTAGAGAAGTTTCATGATGCATTCCATAACTGTCTACATTTTCTTGTATTAAAAAAATAATGCTTAAAGGAACTCCATCATCCAGCTAAATTCAGAAGGACATGCAAGGAAGAGATGGTTTGCTCGTGAGAAAACCCACATAGCTCTGCGTGCCTATGACTCTCCCTGGGTCCCTAAAAGAGTGTAGTTTCTGCCAGCGCCCTGGTGGAGTTGTGTGCTATAGGCTTTCATTATCTCTCTCGGACAGTCTGATCTTTTTCCAGGCTAGTAATTGACAACCACATTCAAACCACGTTTCCTTTCCAGTTGACTCAGGGCTTTCTACCCTAACCTGTTCAGTGTGATACCTTCCCCCAAAACAGTTTCATGAAAAAAAACAGGCTCTTTGTAAATGAGAGAGAATTTAAAATAGCATTCTGGTTTGATTTGTGGGCAAGATGGTTTTAGCGTTTTGAAGGAAAAATGCTATGGCAACTTGTTGGAATCTGATTGTACTTCAGCGTCGGCTGCCAGGGCCAGAGGCCTCACTGTTCAGAGCTGTCTTTTCTGCACTGGACACATGATTTCCATCTCAGTGAGGCCTGCTATTCCTCCTCCCCACTGCCCTTCTAGAACCTACCTCGGATACTCATGACTTTCATTGCTTTTCCCAGATATGCCAAAGTCACAAGTCTTGTGAAATTGATCCTGTAAAGTTAAAAGATGGTGAAAACCTTGAAAACAATATGGTAAGACATCCTTACGTTTCCTGAAGTCTGTCCGTCACCTACATCCTTACGTTTTGTTCACTCTCGTGTTTCCTGAAGTCTGTTCGTCACCACCTGTTAGTGAGGTTTCTCAGTGTGGTGGCCCCTTCGGGACTTGGTTTCACTCAAGGGTCCAGGGTGGGGTAGGGAAGACCTGAGCTGTGCTTTGCACAGCAGGGAGACTACATGAGTCTGAAGCAGAAATGCTTGTGTGTGCTGTGTTAAGCTCACTGTGGTTCAGCGTGTGTAAAACTGTCCGTCCCAGGCTGATGGCCATTCACCACCATTTTGTGTTGCTGACCCTCTCCTGCATTGTCTCCGTGAAGTGCCTCACCAGGCTCTGCTTACCAAGTGGACTCCTTGGCTCTCCTGCACTTTTCCTCATCTCCCGGAATGACCCGGAAGCATTCCTGTTAGAGTTGACACCAGGAACCTTCTCAGTCTCACTTGGTTCCTCCACCTCAACAAACACAAGTACCCAAAACTTGAGCACCTCATGTTGTCCCTGGGAGCTCTGTTCTATTTTTAAATTAAACACAAAGCTCCCTGATTTTGACACTCAACCCTAAAGTTTTCATCTTTTCCTATAGTTTCTCCATACCAGGTCATGCTAAGTTGTGATCATACCTTTAGATAATAGAAGCAAAGTTCCTGCCTTCAGGGAATTCCATTCGTTAAGGTCATCAGGGTGGAGGTGAAGGATAGAGTGTAGGTCTCTCTCTCAGATTCCCCAGAACTCAGTAAACAATTACTTTCATCACTAGAAAATATTACGGTTTTCAGTGTGCATTTTACAAGGAAATGGGTGTTTGGGGGATTTTTGTTTGTTTGTTTTAATGCAGTGGGAAGTAGATCTTATATGGAAGAGTGTATCAAGCCTACATAGTTTAAACAGAAGTCCCCGGCTGGTACAGATGGTTAAGCATTTGATTGAAGGCCCCTTGTCAGAAGGGTCTGCTGATCTACTTCTGACAAATCAACCACTAAAAGCTCTACATTGCAGTTCTGGTCTGTCACATACGAGGTCAGCATGAGTGGGATGCTACAGGAGAAGTTTAAAGAGTATTGGAATGAATTGGAAGGAAACGTTGAGGCAGGAGAGAGAGGGATGGCATGGCCAGAGTCCAAAAAGGGTAGAGCAGAGTGTGGAAAGGGAAAAGGAAGGGGAGGCGCTGGGCTCTAGAGGGCCTGGTTAGAGGATAAGAAGTCCGGGCTTTCATCCTAAAGATAAAGGAGCGAAGTCTAGAGCATCCTAAGGCAGGACAGTAACGGGGGCGAACTCTCCTGTGATGAACCTTGCTCTGGTGGCCACATCGGGGATCACGTAGACAGGGGTCCGTTAGGAGACTAGGGAATGGAGGAGACTGTGAAGCCAGTGAGAGCTCACCAGAGCCGGAGGGGAGAGAAGTTGAAGCCCTAGTCCATTTCTTCCTCGTTCATTGTCTCCTCTTCTGTTGTGCTCCCTTTCCTTGTCTTTCCCTCCTCCTCGTTTATCCTCATCCCACTCATCTATCCATCCTTCTACCCAGTGCTTACTGCGGGCTTCCTCTGCACCAGTCACTGTTTGCAAGCTGAGGCTTCAGTAGTGAGCCAGAGACCAGAAGTGCCTTCCGTTCTAGTATATGGACTAGAAACGATTGTGGGGTGTGTTTGAGACTGATCGGCACTGTGGAGAGGAAAAGGAGCCCTGGTGGTGCAGCCAGTTAAGTGCTGAGCTGCTAACCAGCTGCTCTGTGAGCCAAAGATGAAACTATCTGCTTCATAAAGATTACAGCTTAGGAAACCCTATGGGGTCATTAGGAGTCAGACCCCACTCACCAGACTTCATTCATAGAGGAAGAGAACTCAATAGTAAGGGTCTCAGGTGGCCACCAAGGTCTCCTTGAGAAGATGGAATTTGACCTCCATAGGTCTCTCCATAGAAGAGACCAGCTGGGCTTGACTATCTTTTCAACATGGAATCCCAGCTCCGTCAGGGACCCTGGCCGGGTCCTCCCCACAGCACTGTTCATGGCTGACCTGGGAGCCTGCCCCTTAGCCCTCAAAATCAGTAGTGATGCTCAATGTGTGCCAACATGAGGTAGCCTTCAGAGGGAGCGACAGATCCAGGTCCGCCCCTCTGCCTCCCGCTGTCTGACCTGTGTTCCACATTGCAGGAGAGCCTGCGGCAATACGTGGACCGCATCTTCAACGTGATCTCCAAGTCTGGGGTCAGCTGCCCCACGGTCATGTGTGATATTTTCTTCTCCCTGAGGGAGTCGGCTGCCAAGCGCTTCCAAGGTGAGTCGCTCTTCCTCAGACAGCGCTCAGATCAGCTAAAAACTAACCACAGCCCCCCTCGCTGAGTAATTATCTTCCCACCTGCCATATGTCTGACAGCCCTGGGGCTGGCTTCAAAACAAATTAAAACCAGAAAAGAAAAAAAAAAAAAAAACGCATTTGAGAGTCTGCATAGGCAACAGTGACTAGTAGTGGCTTTGACTCGCAGCCTGCTGCACTGATAGGCCGGCGTGATTCTAGCATCAGTGGCAGATGCCCAAAAGGACAAAACCCTCGCCAGCCCGGCTGTTCCTCTGCCGTTATGTTCCTGGGAGATGCTTTGATTTTGCTGGGATTGTCTCAGCTAATGTTTCCCAGGTCCTCTTTCTGGTTTTTGTTGTTGTTCTGTGTGGGATGAGCTGTCCCAATACCAGGGCCTCCAGCCACCTTAAGAAATCTTTCTGGCAAAACCTTTGTCCTGCTGGTGGTTGTTGAGATCCCTGGGTGTTGCAAACAGTGGATGTTTTTGCCTGTTCCCTTGATCATCCGGCTGAAACACCAGCCAATGAAAACCTTTTGGACCCAGTTATATGCTCACTCACACGGGGGTCTCCGTGAGATACCGAGTCTTAGTTGTTGCTTTTTTCTGACGTGCTCCAGTTGGCGCAACTTCCTTCAACAAATTTCCCCAGCCGTTTTTTTCTTGCTTTAAGTTGGGAGACGTTTGTACTATAAGCATAAACACTTCATCAGGGGCGGTGGGGGGACCAGTAGTGGAAGTATTTGGGGAAGTGGAAAGTGAGGAATTTCCCAGGGCTCTGAGTTTACTTCTTCAGAATTCCTGATTTTTAATTGTGCTGGATTCTGCAGCGTGTTGCCGTAAGCCAGCCCACACAGAGAAGCCAAGGAAATGTGTTTGATCTAGCTGTGGGGACTGTTCATATTAACTCCAGTGACTTGGGGCATGGTATACAGTCGTAGGGACTTTGGAAAACCAGATTCTCAAAGGCCATCACTCACAGAAAGACTTAGGGAGAACAGTCTGGCACACCTGAGCCCCCTCCGTCTGCCAGGTGGATGCCATTTGTCAACTCCATTCTATCCTTCTATGAATTGACTTGAGATGACCGGCCAGTGCTGGGTGACCTGCGTGAAACTGTTGGTTACAAAATGTTCTGGAGCATTCCCTGTGAACCAGATATGTCCAGATAGACTAATGGTTGCCTAAGAAGCCCCAGGCCCCTTTGTTCACAGCTGCCTGGATATCCTAGCATGCTGTCTTCCCTCCGGTGGAGCTGTAAGTGCCTGGACTTCCACAGGCCACAGCTGTCTCTGCCTTGCTTGTTGAGAAGCAGGGGCTCCCGGCAGCATTTAGAGTTCTTGGAAAGGCAATTACCAGGTGCATCCAAGCGTGCCTTCAATCTTTTATGGAATAAGATGGTAATACATGAAATATCTTCTCACATCCCAGATGTAAGTACATCACCAAATAATGAGCAGCTCTCCCCTTTCCTGCCGTTAGGGCTGGGTGAATTGATCTAATGTCAGTTTACAGCCCAGAAACCAAACACATGCTGTGTTAGAGAGAGTGTCTTCTACCCCAAAGAAATCACATTCTTAACTAACAATCAACACGAGGGAGAGAGACTCATAGGTATTCAGTATGAAATACTCACGGAAGAGCAAAGTGCCCTCAGTTATAAAAACGTCACTGCCTGCCAGAGATGGAGGCAGAGATGATGACATGGAGAGACAGAGCAGCTGGGGACTCTAGACTCAAGGAGGGAGAGGGGCTGTGTGCTGGCAGCCAGGGGGTTGGCCTGCAGGGTGTACAGTTTGGTTGTTTGAAGGGTTATATATTCCCGAGTGCTTCGGTGTGCATCCAATAAAAAATCAAAAACAAAAACAGAGGGATTGGAAGCAAATGCTGATGAATGATGATGAATGATCATTACAACGAAATGAAATACGATAGGATGAATGTAAAGCTGATACTCTCCCATGTAAACTATTACTCAATTAGCAATAAAACCTTTAAAAAATAAGCAAAGGTCACTGCCTGGCTACCAGGGGAAGTGACTTTTCCTTCTTTCCTGGTTGTAGATGATCTGGATGTGAGGTACACTGCCGTAAGCAGCTTCATTTTCCTGAGATTCTTCGCTCCTGCCATTCTCTCCCCCAACCTTTTCCAGCTCACCCCACACCACACGGTAAGTGAGCCTTGGAGCACCGCGGGTGCTGTCAGCATCCTTGTGTATCGGCGGACAAGACCGGGCTGGCTGCCAGCTTCTCACCACGCTCACTGGCAAGTGGAAGGTGCAGGCATGTGCTGAGGGTTGCTGTACTGTAAAATGGATTATAAACACGTCACACACCTGTAACTCCCGCACTTCAGCACATCAGCTCTGGTAACTGTACATCTGGAAAGAAATTCATAGTGCTTAAAATAGATACATTTGGATAATGTGACCAAGGTTTGAACTACTGGTCATGCTTATTATCCCCTCCCTTACCCCCCCACCCCCGCCACCTAACAGAAAAGAGAAAGTACTTATCATCATGTGTGTGTGTTAATTTCAGGGGCCCTGGTGGTACAACAATGAAGCACTCCGCTGCAAACCAAAAGGTTGGCAGTTCAAATTCAACCAGTGACTTCACAGAGAAAGGTCTAGCAAGCTACGTCCGTAAAGATTGTTGTTGTTAAGTGCCGTCAGATCGGTTCTGACTCACAGTGACTCTGTATAGGGTTTCCAAGGAGCAGCTGAATCACAGACCTTGTGGTTCAAACCAAGCTTGCAGTCCAGTGCTTTATCTCACAGCGCCACCCCAGGACGCCCTGTAAAGATTACGGCTAAGTAAACCCTATGGGGAGTTCTGGTGTGGATTAATGCGCCAGTCTGCAGAGATGTTTGAACTGCGAGGTCGGTAGCACAGTGGTTACGAGTTAGGCGACTACCCTCAAGGTCAGTAGTTTAAAACGACCAGCTGTTCCGTGGGAGAAAGATGAGGCTTTCTGCTCCCGTAAAGATTTATAGCCTCAGAAACCCTGTGCAGGGTCACTGAATCAGAACCGACTCCACTTCACATAACCACCACAACAACTATGTACCAGGTACTGATCTGGGAGCTGGAGATCCAGGAATAGCCTAGAAACCCGACTTTTGTGGAGCTTGCCTTCTGTTGGGCGGTAGCACATGTAGCAAAGCAGGCAGGCTGAAAATCAGATTAGAGAGTGATGGGTCCATCCATTTCTGTTGGTGGTGGTTTTATATTAAGTCCTCCAACTCATTTAAAAGGCAAAAAGAGAAATCCACAAGCATGTTACCTGGGGGACTCAGAACAGGTGACGCGAGTAAGCCCATGGAGAAGTTCTTCTCATTGTAAGAACTTCCTTTTGCATATTGGCTGGAAAGCAACTCTGACTTCACTGTCCATAGGGGCCATGTGGACGTCTTGTTGAAGTGTAGGCTCAGAGAGTCTAGGGTGACACCTGACATTCTTCATTTCTAACACGCTTCCAGGGGAAGCCATTGACCCAGGCATGGTGCTGAGTGTTGTTGTTGTTAAGTGACGTCGGGTCGGTTCCAACTCCTAGCAACCCTATACAGAGTTTCTGAGGAGCGGCTGATGGGTTTATGCCACCAGCCCTGTAGTTGTCAGTCCGGTACTTGTTCTGTAGCAACACACCACAACTCAACTGAGTAGAAGGGTTTAAATGAAAGCCTTCCTCAGTATAGGACCAAGCTCAGCTTCTGTAGACCCTCTGTATGTTTACTCTTGTTCACTCACTGAGTGGAAGACCACAGCCCCCTGTTGCAGCTGTTTGGATTATGCTGTGCATTTTGTCAGCTGTGTAATTCTGATATAAGTCGCAATTTGTACTAAAATTGGCACAAAACTAACATTGCTCTTTTCCTGTCCCCTACAGGACCCACAGACTTCTAGAACTCTGACACTTATCTCAAAGACAATTCAAACTCTTGGCAGCTTATCCAAATCCAAATCTGTAAGTCTTATTTTTCAGTCTTTTTTTTTTACATTTTGAGAATGCTTTGATTTTTTTTAGAATCTCTTTTTAAAGTATAAATAGAATGTCATATATAAAATATATATACATCTATGTGTATATATATTATATAGGTATATATGTATATACATATATAAAATATATCAAGAACACCCAAACTTTTAGATAGAACCCATTCGGCCTAGCTTTGATGGCTTGATGATCAGAACTTGACTAGAGGAAGATAAAAATTTTAAAAAATACAAATTTTTTTGTTAAAGGAAACTAGTGTAAATTACTACAATTTAATGAACTTAACCTACACTTACTGATGTAGTAGCTCAAACTACCAACTGAGAGGGAAGGAATCTTCACATGAAGTATCTCTGTATACAGGGTTGATAGGGACTGGAAACTTAGACACTGGCTACCTAAAATGGGGGTGCTATCAAGTCACAAAGTGACTGGCTTACAAGTTTTCAAGCTTTCAGTTTCAGAGTGTGTGGAGGCAGAGATGAGGACATGGAGAGAGAGAGAGTAGTGAGGACTCTAGACCCATGGAAAGAGAAAGGCTGTGTGCTGGCAGCCAGGAGGCAGCCTTGCAAAATGTGCCCTTTGCCCGTCCTCCCCCTCCGCCCCCCCCCAAAAAAAAGACAGAGAATAGAAGCAAGTACTGTTGAGTGATGATGCATGGAGGAGATTGTAATCATTGCAATGTAATGATGAGTGTAAAACTGATGTTCTCCCATGTAAACTCTCACAATAAAAACTTAAAAAACAAGCCAAAATATAGTGCATGTGTTTATAAGGATATTTATAGGAGTAAAAACAATAATAAAATCAGCACTCGTATCCTCCCCACCTCGTCCCTCACCAACGACATACCTTAGTAAGTTGTTGTTTATTGCTATTGAATCAGTTCCAACCCATTGCGACCCTGTATAGGATTTCGGAGGAGCGGCTAATGAGTTTGAACTGCTGACTTTGTGGTTCAAACTTCTTTATAGTCGAGTGCTTATCTCATAGCACCACATCAGAACTCCACCTTAATAAACAGAACATTCCATATGTCTCTGTGTATCTCCTAATTAGTAATACTTCGTTTTTTTAGAGGAAAATTGTGATAGCTCATGACCCTTTATTTGCATCTGACTTATATCACCAGATTTGGGAGGTAGTTAACGGAATTGCTTGTCGTTTGGCCTGTGGCAGACGGCACATATTCTAAATCAGTGATGACATGCCTTCTTCCATCCAGATTTGCTGCTGACTGGGCTCCGTCCAGGTGAAGCAAACAGGGCGGAGGGCCTTGACCTTGAGCATCTGAGGCCTTCTTTGCTATAAGAAGTAGGTTTTTAGTGACTGGACAGTGACTGAAAGCCACAAATTTGAGGCCCACCTGTCTGTAATCAACAGCACACCCATTTTTTCCTACACAGATGTGGGGGATGGACCTCCCTCCCTCTGCCTCTACTCCATGTGCACATATGTTCATCTTAACCTTTTGGGTGACAGGTAGTTGCTCCCTTCCTATGCCGTTCATGTTAAATAGATTTTGCCTGTTTTAAGATGTTGGTTCCAGTGGGCGTCATGAATTTTCTAACGTAGGACCTCATCCTTCCAAGGTTTGCCCCATTTTTCCATAAAAACGTGCCTAATGACTAGAAGTTCTGAGGAAGTTTGATGCTAATTATCTTACACAAAGCAATAGTGTACTTTGGGGATGGACTCACATCTGGCTCCACCATTGACAAGGGTAAGTGTGAGCAGCAGCCGGGGAGCCATGTTGCCCTTCCAGTTCTGACCAGAAAAGGTGGTTCTTGTTGTCAAGCGCCGTCAAGTCGGTTCCAACCCATAGCGACCCTGTACAGGGTTTCCGAGGAGCAGCTGGTGAGCTTGAACCTCCAACCTTGCAGTTGAAATGTCTTTGCGGTCTGACGCATTAACCCACAGCACCACCCCAGAAAGGGTTAGATCATAAAAATCAGAAGTCCACCCCACCCAGACTTCCTTGTTTGTTTTTTGTGGTATCTCAGTTAGGGCTGTAGGCAAACCAGAATACCATCATCACAGCTAGCCAGCCCCCTCGGTGGCAAGCACTTGGTTTTCTTGGAATCAGAGGACAAGAAGAGCTTTTTTGTGGCTACCAGGTAGGCCAATTGTACCGATTGTTCTTCTCTGCCCAGCTGAACAGGCCCCTAAGGCCAGAGTCTAAGATCTGCACAAAACTCACCATTTTCATATAAAAACATAATCAGGCAGCCTAAATGTTAAAACCGTATTAAATTTGAATGCGGGGCATTTGGAGTGGATTTTTGAAAGGCCCCTTCACTGACGTACTCTGGTTTACCAGCTCATAGTGGAGCCTTCTTCTTCCGGGGCACTTTATCAGACACCCCCCCACCCCCAAAGCATCCCTTTCAAGGTCCCAGAGCAGCCCTTCACGTTATAGGTTCTGTTCACAAAGGAGGAAATGGAAGTAGGTTCCATGATCGGCGAAGTATCCAAGAGAGGATGTGGGGCCATTGTATCTGGAATTCAGGCCTTCGGAAGCCAAGTGCACCCCGTAGCAACCACCATCTATATAGCCAATTTGGCAGCTTCTTAAACTGGAAATCCAGATGTTAATGAACCAAAATGTAGAAGGGGTATGTAGTCATTATACCAAAGGACTTTTTCACAAAGAACACCTTCAAATAGTTTGCTTTAAAAAATATAGTTTAAATATAATTCATCTTATAGAAATTTTTTTTTTTTTTTTTTTTTTTTTTACGTAAGA